TTAAATCCTATCACCTACAACATCTCTTCTGTGGGGCTGTTCAGAACTCAGCTTTCAGAGGCACAGGCCACTCTTGTCCCAGCTCCTCCATCCAGCAGCTGTGGGGCTTTGGGCAAGTCACCTGTCTACATGAGTTTCCTGGACTGCTGTGGCAGAGCACTGTACAGGGTGGTTTGATGGATTCAAACCCATTTTCTCCCTGTTCTGGAGTCTGGAAGGGCATGGCCAAGCGGTGGCATGGGTTGGTTATTCCAGGGCCTCGCTCTCTCTGGCTTGCAGACTTTTCCTGTCCTCACAAAGTCTTCCCTTTGAGAGACTCTGTCCCACCTCCTCTTCCTAGAAGGTCACTCACCATATTGGGCTGGGCCAACTGGCCGAATTGCATTCACATTATTTGAATCACCTCTTTAAAGACCCCAGACCCAATTAAGGCCACATTCTGAGGTCCTGGGACTTCAGATTTCAGCACATGAATTTGGAGGGGCCCCACTCAGTCTCTGCCTCTATTTCTTCACCTGTTAGAAATGAGGTTTAAGTCTATGTGAGAGGCACACTTTGGCAGTGGGGACAGACAGCATGGGCCATGTCTAGCAGACACAGACAGGACCAGAGGTTCCTTACTTCCCAAGTGCCGTCTCTTCTTGCACTTTGTCATCTGAGGGAACACTGCTATTCAAAGACACCCTGGCCTCTCCCTGCCTTCCTCGCCCACCTTGATGTTTGAAAAGGTAGCACGGATGGCCCACCTCCAACCTGAGCTCAGGGACAAGGTCCTCCTCTTTGACACCAGCTCCCCTCCCCCCGCTTAATTTTTAAGGCCTCCATCAGCTGACAAAAGGCACCCATATTATTTATACAAAATTTGGTGGAGGACCTTTTTGAATCATAAGAACTCATGATCTCACCGCCCAACGATTTTGACGGTGTTTTGTGTCCCTTAGGAGTTCATCGTCCACAGAACCTCGTGCTGTTTTTTTGGGATTTGGGGGTTTTCTCATTTTGCTTTCTTTTTTCACCAGAAATGAGCTGTCCATAGCTCTCTAACCTGTTTCTCTCTAGTGACTGAGAGTGAATGCTTCCCCGTGTCATTAAATATTCATCCAGCACGTTGCTGGTGACGCTGCCTAGCAGCCACTGTGGGGACACATCATCCCTCATTAGCCACGGCCCTGGGGTGGACATGTGAACTGTTAGGATGTCTGCCGGGCTGCAGAAATTGCTTCTCTAATCCCCACACGTGAGTGGTTTCTTATCTTGTTCCCACTAGTTAGGAGAATGTACAATGACTAAAAAAGTGTGAAACCAAGCAAAACCACACTCACAATTGTTCAGAGAATCTTACGTGCAAAAAACTGAAAAAAAAAAAAAAAAGAAACATACGAGCCAGGGAGTGACAAATGTAATGTTCAAGAGAGCGCTCCCTCTGGGAAGGCAGGCATGGATAAATGCGGGAATGACTGGTAATATCTGTTCCAGATTGGGTGGCCCGCTCATTACGGTTTCTGCTATACACAAACCTCCATAAAAGAAGAGACCATAAAATAGAGTTAGGCCATGTGTGGGCTGATAATGACAAGAGACCATGAATCAAAGACTATGACCAATTGGGCTGTACGCCCCCGTGGTCCAAATAAATGAAAAAAAATATACACACAGTCAGGAGAGCAATTATGACTTCCAGCAAGCTTTTAATGGAATATTTCTATTTTATTCATCACACATGCATCTACATATTATTTGAAAAATGCTAGGGCATTATTGGGAGGCATATTATTTATTCTATTCATAGATAATATAAGGGTCCAAAGGCATCCAAGTAATCTTTGAGGTAACTTTCCAGTCTAAGGTGCACGCGCACACACACACACACACACACACACACACACACACACACACACACACACACTCATGTGTGCACAGAGAGGCATACTAGTATTAGTCAAGGGGGCACAAAGTCTGGCCAAAGAGACAGAACCCTGGGTTTTTCCCGGACCCAAGGCCAAAGAACTTTTTTTTCCCATGCAATGGCTACCATCTCTGGAACATTCTGATGGGTGCTGGGGACTCTGGGGAAACCATGGAGTCTCAGGTTGGTAGAGCTTTGGTGGGACCTACATGAACCCCTACAAATAGAAGTATCAGGGAAGCATCTTGAGCAGTAGGGGCAGGAGAGGTAAGACCACAGGTGAATGCTTGAAGGAAGAGGAGAGAGGCTGGACTGGACTGCAGGGCTGAAGGGCATTCTAAATGGTGGGCACAGCACGGCAGAGGCACAGAGGTCTCATGAAAGTAGGGTCTTCCTAAGGGCATCTCAGTCAGCAACAGGGTAGAGCAGGGCATGATCACAAGTGTCTTCTTTACAATGCCAAAGACACAGACTTCACCTTGGAGACTATGAGGAGCCAATCATGGAAGTAAAATGATATATCATAACTATAAAGGTCCTTTTCATCTGCCTTGTGGAGGAAATGGGAGCCCAGCTGAGCTGATCCAGAGATGAGTACAGCCTGGCAGAATGGGACAGGGAATTGGCTCTTCCTCCTCTGGGTCTCCTACTGCCCAATCATACACTGAATATGTGTGGTGGGGTGATCACTATGGGCCTTTTCTGGTCCCACAGCTTGGATCTAACAGGACACTATATCACCTCTTCTCTCCTTAGGCAGGCTTGTGGGAGGGATGGCCTAGAGCATCCCTCCATGTCATAGGTTAAGAGAGATGCCCCACACCTCACTATAACTTCCAGAAGACCTTATTGCTTGTCCTTAGCTACCCCTGAATAGACTTCCTGTCTGCACAATCTCATGGAGGACAGCCCCTCAGAGAAGCAATGGTTGTACCTGTAAACCTTGTTGCCCTCTTGGCATTTTCGTGGTGGGGGTATAAAAGAGAGCGTGTGTGATTTTTGTCTGAGTGTACTGTCTGTGACAGTAGAGTGCCTCTGTGGTGCTCTGAGGTCCTATTTGACAGCATGTATGCAGCTGTGCAGCAGATGTGTCTAAGCTGACTTGGCACCGTTCATCACCACCATAGCTGGTATCAATGGTGGTCTCATGCCTCACCCCAGGCCGCTCATGACAACAAGGCACTCTCTGGCACCGGACACACTTCCCCGAACTGACTCTCCAACGTTTCTGGCCCCACCAGCCTAGGACACACAGACTTTCCAAATACTTGTCCCCTTGTGCCTATCTTGGGTCTGTGAAAGGACTGGCTGGCAGCCCTAGGACCCTGTGTCCACCCATTCACCAGCATTAACGTGAGCTGTGAAGTCCATTGGTTTTCTTATGTTACATCTTGAATGATGGAAAGTTGTGCCTGTAAACAGGAGATTATGAAGAAATGGTACCTGGGATCCTAGAGATCTTAGTTGTTCACACATTTAGGGTGCACAGTAGCTTTTGGCCCTGACACTGAGCTGGTCACTTTCTGGAGGAAACTTTGTTAAGCAATGCAGGTCACCTAGGCCGATTCCTATTCTGCAGAATTCTGCATGTAAAGCAGCATGTTGCTGGTGCCCACCACCTCCTTAAAACAGTATGCGTCTTCTGAGCTCTGATGATAAACAAAGTTACCCTTGAGCTTGGCCTGGTCTCCTCCTTGTCTGTGCTGTGATACTGTGTAACGGGCCATCCTTCGCTAGTGAAGGAGACTACATCCCTGTGAGGACCTGTCATGCTCTGGCCTAAGGCTCTGCCGGAGTTGGGCCAGGGCCCTAACTGTCCATTCAGGAGGCAGAGGATAGATCTCTCTGGTAGCTCTGCCGGTCTCCCTGCCAGTGGCAGGTCCTGGAGAGATTCCAGGGCTCCGCCTGGTCTCACTGCTCACTCACTCTCTCATGAACTCACTGGCTCTGCTTAGGAGTGACAGGAACATGAATACTGAAGCTAGGAAGAGTGTAGAGAGGCACCGGACTGTTCTGTTTCTCTCTCCACCTGCAGTGCTGGCCTCTTCAGGGGCACTTTGCCCTTCACCAGCGCCTGGTTTCCAATGGAGGGCTCAGGGGGGCACAGGAATGGTTCTAGAGCCTCTAAAACCACGACTCTGTGAGCTGTGGAGGATGCTAGAGAACATGCCACTGATGGAGAAAACTCTTGCCTGGGGCAACATGGTGGAGAGGAGAGACAAAGCAGAACCTAGACTGAGAGCAAGACACACCTATGCTAACCTAGGCCTGCTTCACAGGCATGAGCTATAGGCCCACCCACTTCACAGGTATGAGCACTCCGAGGCAGGCAGTTGGGTCCCACTAATCCCCAGGCAAACAGTGAGTGCTTGGTAGCCCAGCAGATTCTCTACAGGGGTGATCACTCCTCCACACCTACTGGTGAGGAAGACTGACTTTTTCTCCTCTCCTCAGAGGGCCCTGCATAATCCAGAAGGAAAAGAGACATGTTTTCACCTCTCACTTACTCCATCTGGTGTCCAGGACACCAAGACCTTCAAGTCTTCCAGATAATTTTAATTAATTCCTTTCTAGATGTCCCCATCTCGCCACTCGTGGCAAATCTGTCAGTGTGAAACCTGATGTTGTTCCTGGTTCCTAGCTCTGGCTGAGGGCTGCCTACTACTCCATCCATATTCTCCACCTCTGTTAGACCCTCTCTGGTGACCTCTCTGGTACCCTCCGGGGCCCCTTCAATCCATTTCTTTCCCCAGGGCGCAAATCTGCTCCAGGACTGGCCAGTCGCCCCTACCCAGCTCTAATGTTCTCCTTCAGGAGAAGAAATTTCTGGTCAAGAGCTGCCCAACTTCGGTTGGCTACGGGTACAGGATGTAGTCGTGGGTTTCCTGCAGTCCCCGGGCCTGCGACCCTCGACCTTCAGATGAGCTATTCGGCCACCCCAGATAGCCAGCCCCGCCAGTATTCTCGCGACTTGGAGGGTTGAAAGCGCATGGGGGGTTGCGGGCCCGACGGGGCAGGAGACAGAGCCCCGCCCCCGATGCCGCCATTGGCCGTGGTGTAGCGGGCGGCCCCGCAGCTCCTTGAGCCTCGCCGATCGTCTTGGCCAAGGTCCTGGCTCCGCGGCTGAGCGCGATCGGTTGTGGCGCCCCGGAGCTGCCTGCTTGGTCCGGGGTGGGCGGGCAGGGACCTGGACGCTGCGCTCTCTGGCCGCTCCCCGTCGCGCCCGCTCCCTCGCAGCCACGCGGGGCGCGCACTCCCACTCCCTCCGCGCGCGGCTCCGGGGCGCAATGGACGCCGCGCTGCTCCACAGCCTGCTGGAGGCCAACTGCAGCCTGTCGCTGGCCGAAGAGCTGCTCCTGGACGGCTGGGGGGTGCCCCCGGACCCCGAAGGTAGGCAGGAGGCGAGCGGACTAGCCACACGTGGGTTCGCTCTCCCGCGCTCTCCTAGAGCGGGTCTGAGCAGCACCCCGCGCCGCTCCCGGGCCATCCCTCTGAGCTCCGCTGCGCTCCCTCCTGTCACTAGGTCTCTACTCCTACTGCAACACGACCTTGGACCAGATCGGGACTTGCTGGCCCCAGAGCACGCCCGGAGCCCTGGTGGAGAGACCGTGCCCCGAGTACTTCAATGGCATCAAGTACAATACGACCCGTGAGTACCCCTCGCTTGCCGGCTTTCCAGAAAGGCGGTTCAGGAAGAGGGGAGGTCTCTCGACCCTGAATCGGACACCTACCGAGGGCCTTCATACCGCTATAGCAATTACCCTGGGGACTCTGTAAATGTGGGGGCTCGCCTTCTGTGCCTAACCCTATGGCGCTTCTAACCCCCGGTTACGCGGTGGTTTGCCCAGAGTTCTTATGCTACACGTTTGCAAAGAGCCAAGCAAGGGAGTAGGAAATACTTCTCCTTGGCCGCAAGTGTCCCTTGCACTATTTGCTCAGGTGCCTGAAGTTCACCCATTCGGGCTTCGTCTGCACAGAAAGCATTGTATGAACAGATACAATGCTCTCCCATCTCTAAGGCGACGCCGCAGCGTATAGACGTTAAGGCCCCAATCCTGTACGCACGTTGTGACTCAGGTAATCAGACCCTAGCACTGGAGAGGAGAGATCAGAAGGAGGCAGGGAACTGAGATGAGCGCGTGTGTTAGTGAACATACTGAGCCTACACTCAGGGTCTCGCTCACCAGTCTTTTAAGTCTGGAGCTCTGGGCAGCATTACCTCTATGCAACCTCTGGTTAACAGTGGTTTTGAATCAGGACCACACCCCCCACCTCCCAGGAAGAACAGCCTGAGGCTTCCTTCCTGCTGACAAGCTCCATGAAGGCTACAGACTATAGGAAGACGGCAGCAGGGAGTGTTGAGGCGGGGACGGGGGCATTCAATCTGGGGTGGTGGTGGTTGTGTGTATGCACATGTCAACACAAATGATCTGATAGGAGCCGGTGCTGAGCTCTGTGAGGTCATAGGTAGCCATGGCTGGCCCACCCGGACACCTTCACCTGTCCGGCCCTACATGTTAACAGGGCACTGCGGAGACTGCAGCAAGCTGTTTGTCTACAGCCTTTACATCCCAACAGAGCTGTGTCTGATTGTAACACGTATATACGCATGCGTGTCCCAGCTGTCTGAGGGCAAGGAGGCCTTCACCTTCTAGGTGCTTAAGACGAGGAAGCAGTGCCTGCTCTGGGGCCAGGCCGTGCTCCCTGGGAGCAAGGGGCAGCCTGCTCTGAGAAAGCTAGGACCAGATGCTCCTAAGAAGAGAGAAGTCAGTGGAGATAGAGGAAGCCCTGAGGAAGGTTTCCCTACCACCTGAGAAATGCCTCCTAAGCATAGTTAAAACAGATCTCATTGGTAGGTAGTGAGGATCCTGACCCAGGAGGTATGCAAGAAAAGGAGTGACTTCAAGCTCCTTCCCAGGAGTAACTAACACAATTGTATTTTTAAGATGTAACCTCCATGAGTTGGGCAATGGAGATCAGGCACCTAATTCAGAGGGCTGAGACTAAGTGCCATGCAGGGCCAAGTGGAGTGACTAAGCCTGAGGAAGCCCTGCTTCAGCTCTTACCCTGACCCCGTTACCTCCACCCACCTGGAACCCCACCTGCCCGGGGCAGTGCCTGACTTCCCTCCGGAGCACAGCCCAGCACAGCGGTACATAACCGATTTGTTGAACACCTACTGTGTTTCAGCTGCAGCAACTGTACTGTATTGAGGCTGCCCTCCCAACTGTACACAGATGAATACAGAGCAGTAACTGCCCTGCTTCAGAAAAGCAAGGGAATTGTGGGAAGAAGGGGGGCAGGGACATCATATACCATACCCCTCTTACCAAATCAAATGAGAAGCTGAAAAAGGGTCAGTATACCAATGAGGTTGGTAAATGTGGTGGCAATTAGTCCTTGGTGTCTAATGAACAATTTTCTCCGTTGGACCAAAGTACTGTCTGCACCTCAGCTCCCGGGGAACACTTGAGCTGGGGGTAGGATGTTGGCTTAGAGAGATACCTGGAGCTGGGAGGGTGCAGTCACCCTGCCTGGAAGAGGCCTCTGACAGCAGGGGAAATACCTGATTGATGGTCCTCCTACCTCCGGCCAGCCTGCACACAGCTTCCTCCTCTTGGCCTTTTCAGCAGGATCCTTTAGAAAGGACTGGGGAGAAAACCATTCAGTGAAAAGCCTGAGGGGAGAGTGCCCTAATCTCATCAAGTCACAGCCACCCTTTCCCCTCCCCAAAGCCAAGCTTCTCAGAGGGCAGAAACTGCTTGAGGCTAGGAAACGCCCTGTGGGGATGACAGTGTCTGCTGACATCTCTGTGGTCTGTTAACTCAGCTGAGCACAGAGGACCTGTCACAGAACCTCTAAGTGCTAACCGCTGCCAGGTGCCGACTCACCAGGAGAACCTAGTACCCACAATCCCACTCCTGCCCACCGCCCTCAAAGACCCAGCTGTTTTCAGGCCCAGGTTGCAGAGCCCAGAGGTGGAGCACAGCTAGCTAGCTCCTGTGCACCAGCCCAGGCAGGAAGCCACGACCCTCACGCAACCTCAGGGCAACACCGTCTCCAGGAGTGACAGACAGTTAGTTCACTTTGCAAGGAGGATCTGAGAAGACTCAAGCCTCCGGATGGGGTGTGCTTAGTGCCTTGGAACTATGGAGTATAGAACATAGTAGGTAAAAAAAAACTAAGACCAGAGAGGGACATGGAGGACTGAGATGCACAGCACTGCCAGGGACTTTATTGGAGGTATAGGATGGAGCCTGGGCAAGATTGTGAGTATAGAGGAGCTAAGCTGAGGTCCTTTGGTCTCGGGTGGGGAGAGGAGGGTAAGAACACTGCAGCAGCCTTCTGGTGGAGAAGATGCTTTGGGAGTTGAGGAAGGTTCCCATGAAAGCGGCCTTGATGGCTGGAATTGACAAGAGAGAGAGGAGATGACAAGGGACGAGGAATTGCAGGAAAGAAATGGCTGGGCACAGTGGGGCATGTGCTGGCTCTGAGACATGGAGGGATCTCTGGGCAGAGGCATCCAAGAAGCAGCTGACTGGGTAGCAACCGCCCAGGAGAGCACCAGGGAGGGCACCAGGGTGGAGCTGTTGGAACAGGTGTCCGAGAGCACATCAGAGCTGTGACTGGTCCTGTGCAGAGACTGTCACCAGATGTCACAGTCAACAGTGGCCAAAAGAAGGGAAGGCAACGTCCCAAAGGAAGGGACCCTGGCAGAACCACCTTAGTGCCTGCCTATCTCCTCTAGCACCCTGAGCCCTGGTGTGTCTACACTGGTGCCCAATTAACTTACCATGCCCAAAGATGGAGACTTGGGGTTATCCTCATGTTACACATGGGGAAGCAGAGACTTGAAGACCTGAAATAACTTACCTCCTAATGAAACAAGGATCCTAAACCTAGGCAGCTAGATTTTGGGGCCCCAGACAGGAACATAGGACAGAGCTGACCCAATGAGAAGACCCCTGCTTCCCCTGGGTGGCCGATGCCATCACCCCTGGCCACCAGCTGGGCAATGCCACGCTGCTCAGAACAGAGAGAGCTCCTTTCAGTGATCTCTGGAGGGAGGGGCGCTCATCTCTACTTTGTGGGTAGGCAGTCTGATGGGTAGGAGCATGGTGGTTCCTGCTCACACGCTCAAGTTCTGACTGCCAGGGCTCCTAATGCTCCAGTGGGGGGTGGGTCCTGTCTCCCCTAGGCTTCCCCAGCTTAGGTTCAAATTCTGGACAGCTAAAACCAATCCTAAAATGTCCATGCATAGCATAACCTATAGTGAGGCCCCCATCCTTCCTGGGTCTCAGTCTCCCACCTCTAAGGAGAAAGGAATGGGTTTTCAGCAGCAGCAACTGCTTGTTGGGGAGACAGGGCACTTAAATTCCACTTTACTCCACCTCCCCATTCACACAGACTTCTCTGAGCACACATCTCCAAGTATTCCCCCCTCCTCTCTCTTCCCCTTTCCCCCTCTCCCTTCCTCCCCTCCTCCTCCTCATTTCTTCCTTCTTCTATCGCTCTGTCTTCATTCCAGCTCTCTCCATCTCTCCCTACTTCTTCTCTACCCCGATCTCCCTGCGTCCATAGATCAGTGTGTATTACCTCTTCCTGCTCTTCCAGTCCTGGCCCCTCCTTTCGTCTGTGCCATGGTCCTATGGCTCCATATGAGGGTCCCCTGGATGCCCAGGATGTAGCCTATCTTCCTCTTTCAGGAGCACTGGTCTCCACCTTGTCCATTTCAAGAGGAAACAGTGGGGCCAATATGTATTGAGGCATCCTTGAGCAAGGAGAAGGGATATCTACCCTAACTACCTATGGAGGAGACTGAAGCCTCACTTCCCAGAACCCCATTCTAAAATAGAAACACAACCTAAGGGGCCCCTAGACAGAGAACCTCCCACCAGGTCTGTGTCCTTGGGCAGGAATTCCCTCTTCAGTACTATGGGAGAGAGGTGTCAAAAAGGTTGCAAAGCCCTTGGCCTCCGGAGCCCTAGACTGCTTATAGACCAAACTTGGAGAAATCAACGGTCAGAGATTGGGATAAGGGGCATGGCAGGCACCGGGCTACGCCTGGGAGGCTTCCCGGAGGGCTGCAACAGCAATCATTTGACACTTGTTGAGGCTGCAAGTCTGAGGGTCCCAGACAGACCACAGCCTCTGGACAAGGAGTTAGAGGCCACAGATTCAGAAACTGGACTGCCTCCGTCTCCAGGGAGACATGGCCATACCTTTTCATTTTCCTGAGGCAGGAAGTCCTCTGTGTGTGAGGACTGTTTCCCTGCTGAGAGAGAGAGGGAAGGCAGGACATGTTCCCCCGTCACAGAAGGTGGCTAATGAGGGTGGAGAGGAGAGAGAGCAGGTGGGGAGGCTCTCTGGCCGCCGGTACCTAGAACTATCTATCCACCTGCCTCCAGCCACCCTCACCTGTCACTTCAGGTAGAAAAAGACCAGCCACGCTCTAACGTCCATCTGCCTGTGTGGAAGGAGCTGGGGACAGAGAAGTCTCTCTTTCCGAACTCCACTCCCCCCTCCCCCGCCCCTGGGTGGAGCAGCCCCCAAACACATTTTTGAATCTCTGCTTCATACCAGGCTGTGTTGCCCTCCGTTCCCCCTGCAAGAAGCCGAGAAATCAGCTCCCCGAAGACGTTTAAGACC